AGCGTGCGAAAGAATGAGCGACCCTAAACAAAGTGCGAGTGAGGCAAATGCGTCTTCGTTTCAAGCGATAGAGCCGCTCGGCGCGCAGCGAGCGGTGATGGTTTTTGTAAAGCGGCCGGTGCCGGGGTGCGTGAAGACGCGCCCGGCGGCCGGCGTGGGGGCGGACGCGGCGTGCGTCTTCTACCGCGCGTGCTGCGAGCACGTCGTCACCAGGGTCACGCGCTACCCCAACCTGTACGTGACTATAACGAGGTGACAAGTCGACCCAAAAGTCATCTTCTATCGTGCGTGCTGCGAGCACGTCGTCACCAGGGTCGTGCTCTGCCCCGACCTGTACGTGACTATAGCGAGGTGACTGTTCAGGCGAATCAAAATTCGCCTTTTACCGCACATGCTGCGAACATGTCATCGCCAATATCGAGCGCTGCCCCGAGCTATACGTGACTATAGCAAGGCGCAGGGCTTTTGTGGAGTACGGGGATGTTATAACATGACCTCCAGCTGAGTCTATATACATCGGAAAACCAGGGGGGTTGGAGGGGTAGGTTTTGTTGTAGATGCTTCAATGTAGCTCTACTCAAAGTTACGCCAAAGCTACCCTTCAGTTGCTTTCAGCGTGGGCGCTTCGGGAATCAGAGGGATGATGAAAGCGTGGTTTGGCGTGGAGCTGGCGTGGATGATTTTTATTGGACTTCGATTCATACATTCGGGACAGGTGCAGTTGGCAAAATGACTCGGGTTCGTTTGCGTTTCCTGTGATTGCGTTCGCCCATTTTGTCCAATCAAGTTACCAGCAAGGATTCAATCGTGTTCGGAACCCCGCTAAGGACTTGGTTATTTTGCATTGGTTGTTCAGGGTTATAATGGGTGTAAACAGCATGCAATGTTTGCTGCCTCATTCTAACTTGATATTTGTAACTAAACTTTTACGTTGTAACTATCTTATTTCTCGCAATTGCCCTAGAGTCATCGAGTTTCAATTCGCCGAGAAGGCCTTATCGCAATCCAGTGTACAACCCTTTTAACATTGTATGCGTCACATGATCGAGCGCTATGTTATTAATTACTATTATTATTTAATGGAAGGCTTCTAGCACTACATATAGATGCCCTGCAAAAAATAAGCTCATTCCAAAAACAAGAGATAGCTAATCCACAATTTGGTCCACGAGTGGACCTCTAACATCAACAACGCCATCTATTGTTGCACATACGGTATGAGAACAGTCCAAGCTTCGTTAATCCAAAGGCTCCTAAATTTACTGGTAGATTCCTGACACTATATATGTATGCCCCACAAATATTGTCAGAAATTAACGAGCAGGAATGAATGCATTAGGCAGAAAGTTGGTACAAGTATAACCCGAATTGAGTTGTACCCCATACAACACACACAACATAATAGTTTGACACACCCCCATAGGCAAAGTGGGGGAGAACAAGGGGTCACAAGACCAGTCAAGAAAAGCAAAGCAAGCTCGGGGTGGATCACGAAGTCACCACACACTCTGAGCACAAGCAAATGGCCACAAGGCCAGTTCACATGCAGAGTTATATAAATGGGAACAAGCAGTATAGTGATCACAACCTAGCAAGTGTAAGCATGCAGGTACAAGTATATAGATCACAGTACAAGCAAAGTCACAAAGTGAGCAAGTGAGGGAAAATAGGCACAAGGCATGAAACAGTACAGAAACGCTGATGATCACAAGGCTGAAGTGCCTTGGTGAATATATCAGCAGTGTTGGCACGAGTGGCCACGTAAGCAAGACGAAGCTGACCACGTTGCTGCAACTCTCGAGCAAGGAATTAACGCAGAGCGATGTGCTTCGGCATGTGCTCCATTCTTTGCTCCTGACACAAGGCAATCATGGCCTTGTTGTCTACGTACAGAACTGGAGGAGAACTAGGCCGCTCTCCCAAGTCGGTCAGCAGGTAGGTGAGCCAGCGTAAATCCTGTGCAGCCATGGCCCCTGCGTAGATCTCAGCCTCACAACTGGAACTGAGAACAGACGACGAGCGGGTAGACCGCCAAGAAACAGAACTGGAGCCAAGGCTGAAAGTGTAACCCTGTGACGACCGCTGCGTAGTCAAGTCGTCAACCCAAGACGCGTCTGCGTGGCCAGTGAGAACAACTCGACTCCGTCCTCCAAGCATGAGCCCCATGCCCAACGTACTGCACAAGTAGCGTAACACCCTCTTAGCGGCCTCCCAGTGCTCTGGTCGGTGTCTCCCGGGCGCAACGTAGCGTGCCAGGATGCTGAGAGGGTAAGCAAAGTCAGGTCGACTGCAGGTCATCAGGTACATGAGGCATCCCACCAGCTCTTAATACGGGCCACTCGGCTCTACGGACTCGTCCGAAGGTGAAGCTGAGAGCGAGTGACCGGTAGGCAGAGGAATGGAGTGTGGCGAGGACCAAGTGAAGCCGAAGCGCTGAAGGACCTGCTACACCATGTGTGACTGAGTCAGGGTGATGGTGCGGCGTGCTTTGTCCCGGGTGATCTGCAAGCCAAGATAGCTGCGCAACTCACCCAGGTCTGGCGTGTCCTCAATGTGTCGTGCCACTCGCGAGGCGCCTGGCGGAGACCATAGACTGGCCGTCGGAGGCTACACTGGGTACCTACAGGAAATGACCCAGTGAAGCCAGGTGGGCGGCGCAGCCAGATCTCCACGTGCAGGCTGCCCTGTAAGATAGTTGTGCTGAAGTCAAGAGAGTGAAGCACGTAGTCACGCTGAGCGGCGACGTGCAGCAGCACACGAAGAGTGGTCATCTTCGAAGTAGGGGAGAAGGTCTGGAAGAAGTCAACTCCCTATCGCTGACTAAAGCCTCTAGCAACGTAACGAGCGTCGAAGACAGCGGAGAACCTGGCGGCCGCTTCACCCTGAAAATCCACATGCCATCGTCTATGTTCGCCCTAGGAGGGGGATTCGCGTCGACGTAAGTGCCTGTGGACTTCCAGGATGCCATCTCTGCGTCCATGGCTGTCTGCCACCGAGAGGAGTAGGGACCCGTAACCGCCTCTGCGTAAGAGCGCGGGGTCGGGATGTCTGGAGCATCCGGGTCTCCCTCAGGTGCAAGCAGCATGGACACGAGATGAGGTACAGCAGCTGCAAGACACTCAAAGTCCTCCTGCGTGTCCTCAAGGACGTCCGTGCCAAGAGCACATTCACCCCCGACGTACGGAGGACACACAGACTCATACTCAGCAACAAGAATAGCGTCGTAGTCGAGACGACAGCTAGCAGCAAAGTTGACAAGCTCAGCAACTAGGGCAGACACAACAGTGGGCTCAAACAAAGGGTCGGAGACAACAGTGGCTAGGATACGGGTGACATTAGGACTGGCAGCACGAACTAAGTCAGACTCAGGGTGTGGAGCCTCAGGAAGAGAGGACGCAAGAGGAGACGGCAGGGGAACTCGCAGTGGAACAGAGGAAGGATGAAGTGTCATATTGTGAGTGCCGGGGACAGGAGGAGGACGCGGACGCGGAACACGACTACCAGTGCGACCAGCACGAACAGGCGAGGCAGGGCGAGACGCAGGCTTACGACGATCTGTAAGAGAGTCTATCTGCTCAATATAAGGAGAAGGAGCGGGCAGTGGGGAGGCTGGCTGTAACTGTGGCTGGGACTGGTCTGGCGGTGGACACAGTAGAGGCGGAGTAAGGTCAGTAGAAGACCGGAGACCAAGAACCTGGCGAAGCAGTGGAACAAAGTACGGGCGCGGCCCCACAGCGCCTCCTGCACCAGTACCGAGAGCTCCAGCACCCCCACCACCAGCACCTCCAGCTCGAGGGTCTCCAGCTCCAGCACCCCCAGTGCCAGCACCTCCAGCTCCACGGTCTCCAGCTCCAGTACCTGCAGCACCACCAGCTCCAGCAGCTCCTGCACCTCCAGCACATCCAGCAGCTCCTGTACCTCCATCAGCTCCATTACCTCCAGCAGCAGCAGCACCGCCAGCTCCAGCAGCTCCAGTACCTCGAGCACGAGCACCTCTAGGACTAGCAGCTCCAGCACCTCCAGCACCACTAGTAGCAGCATCACCACCAGCTCTGGCAGCTCGAGTACCTCGGGCATCCTTCCCTATTCCAATCACTGTGAAGGAGGACAAGACTGGAGAGAACGACGACCCTTACGGTTTGTCCGTTGAAAACCTGATCACAGAACAGGCGTTGCATAAGAACTGCTCAAGTGGGAAATCCGAGGAGCGCAAGCCAATGAAGGCGGACACATCTCCGCCTCCCACAGGTATGTAAACATTGTCCCCCCATTACTTGTCCGCATGTATCCTTTCACAATCATTGCGAGGCTTTGGAGGAGCATATCAGGTAGTGCTCCAGATGCTCGGATGTGTCAGTTTTCTATCATCCCTAGTACCTGTCGTGTAGGTGATTGTAACAAGCACGCAGCTGAATTGGAGTGCACAGAAGTGGGTGGTCCTGACAGCGGGATGTGACGCCTTCTGCATGGTATCACTACTACTCCGTCCTGTATGGGGTCATACATTCGTCATGCACCATGGATGGGTCTGATGGACGCACTGGCACCGTGCCCAGATCGTGCGACACCGTGTCGGAGCCCAGTGGTGCCTCTAGTGACGAGGAATGGTCGCCGTCCACTGACGTCGGCGCGAGTGGGTATGAGTCGAAAACTAACATTAATGTCGTGACTTCACGTGCAAGAACGCAGTCTTCGGGTGGAAAGCAAGGAGGCCGTAAGTGTGCAGGCCGGGGTCGTGGAAAAGGTGCTGTGCAGAAGCAGGTGAAGGATCTAATGGATGTGATCCAGAGCGTGAAGCAACGCGTCCCCCGTAGGACGAAGGACGGCGGTGGATGTGTATGGCGCTTATGGCAGCAGTTCTGCCAAGCTTGAACCACCCGCGCCGGAGGCGATGGATACAGACCCGGCTCCCACTTCGCGCCTTGTTGAGGAGGAGGACGTTGTAGATATGACCGCAAGTGCGGGCGTCTCAACACCAGTCTGCCTGTTTGAAGAAACCCATGCCCGCCCAAACTGGTAACGATTATCATTGCACCGACAGCGTGAAGACACCAAACATCAATAAGCGGGGTCGGGTCGGTCATGTGCACGGGTCTGAGCTGATGGGGGAAGGCACGCCAACACGCACGTATGTCGCCCCCAGCCCTGTCGTCACAACTGACGCAGTGAAGGCCGAAGCTGGTGGTGGACCTGGCATGGCGTCCGCCGCTGCAGCGCCTGACGTGGCAGTCATTGCTCAACTCCTCCTCCAAGTGCTGGGAGGTGCCGGCTCTTTGGTTGAAGCTGCAGTACCTGGGTTCAACACTAGGGAGCAAGGTGGTGCAGCGGCTGAGCTGATTGCCGTCATGCAGAGGCTCCGGTCAGCAACCACGCCAGTAGAGGCCTCGATGGGGAGGGAGAGGACAACACCTGCTACAGCGACAACAGGGAAGAAAAACACTGCTGCTTCCCCTGAGTCAGCACGAATCAGTGACGTTGTGGATGCAGGGACCCCGGCTGCTGTCGCGGCGGAAGGCAGGTCGTTACGCCGGGGCGGCAAAGCAAAGGGCGCCAGCTCTGGAGAACATACGGCGGCCAGAGGCGGGGAGCTGACGAAGGGACTGAACTGTGGGCTTTGGAAGAATCCCCTGGAGCAAGACAACATGGTGGAAGAGCGGTACGGGCCTGTTCAGGGTGTGTTGTGAAGTAATCGGGTTATTAGTCAAGTGGGTGATGAGCTGATGTGATGAATTGCATTTGCAATTGACCCTACAGGGCTCGCGACTATTGAAACCAGATCTGCCGAGGGTCTAATCGGGAACATTTCGGTGGTCGTTGACTACGACCCGGACTGCAAGGTCCGGCAACTCAAAACTGGACTACCCAGCCCCGGCAAGGTCGTTGAGTACACTGGGCTTGGGTGTGCTTAATGTATCATGCGCGTGGAGAACTACGAGATGACTCTGTGGGATCGTAAGGAATGTGGGGTGGACAAATTGGCAGTGGGTGACTGTGCCATTTCTGACTCCTTTTTGTAGTGTCCTCACATTTCCGGGCTATGCCGAGTGTACGTGTTGTACTTGGCAGTTCTACTGCAAGATGACGATGGATTACTTGCTCCGCAAGTGCCGCGCACGTGGAGTGACCTATTGGCCGAACAACACCATGCGCCACTACGCTTTGAAGGTGGCGTTACGGCGGGACTATGACGTGTGCTATTAGGACGTGGTGAAGCTCATGGAGGACAAGAACTACAGTTCGAAGATCAACAAGCTTTGGGCGAATTGGAGGACGGACACCTCCACAGCGTCACGGCGGTCGTTGATTGACGCCTTGGAGATTGATGTGGAGGCTGATGGCGTATTCAAGATCGAACTAAGCTAAGCTGGACCCCGTTTTCCGGAACAGCAGGTCACCAAGCGTGTCGGTAGGACGGTTGGGATTTAGCATGCGCAGAGCACGCCTGAGGGCAGAGGTGACCACCTGGATCCGAGGGCAGAGAAGAAGGCAGTGATCCAAGGTCTCCTCCCCTCCGAAGTAGGGGCAGGTTGGTTTCCCGCTGAGAAATGCAAGGCGCTCCCCCACTTGCAAATTTAAGTTGTGGACACGAATGAGGACATCACGTGGACGGCTGGGGACTGCCAGCGAGTCTCGTGACGACACCACCCACTTCCAGTTGATTCGTCTCCCCCATCTTTTCGCCCACTTCTCCCTCTTGCTCGACTCCTGGTAAGCCCCTTTCCAGCATTCCCTCATCTTCCTGAAGGGAATCACCTCCCCTCCCTCCAGAATGTTCAACGGGGGGGTGGATTCAGCCGAGCAGGGAGGGACCGAACAGAACCCTAGCAGTTGCCACCAGGACGCTGGCAGGGTAGTCAGTGCTTTCACCGCCAACCTCGCTGGACCGTTTCCCGAGCAGCCGTGACAATTCTTTCTGCTGCTTTAACACAAGCTCGCCGTTACCGTCTACCTCCAGCAGATCTCCAACACACACCTCCCAGAGTCCCTTGCCATCCTTTTGCCCACCAACGGGCGTATGCAGTAAAGATGCCTTGTTGAAAGCTAACCACTCCTTCAGTATCTCCACTCTGCTGACCGCCGTCGGCCGAACGCAGAACGGAGAGTTAACAAAATTGTCGCACGTTTGCTTCCACCTCATACTCCTACTCTTCCAATGTTTCACCAGGTTCGCGTGTGAAGAGAAGGTGTCCTCGCCCAGGGGTAGATCTGCCGCCTGCGCCATAATTGCTTTCTTCATGGGGTTCTGCTCCGTGAGATAGAGGCCCACTCTCCTGGCTGCGAGACATGTGATGGTTATCTCCGGATCTTTCAAACCGATGCCACCCGCCTCCTTTGGGGTGTAGAGCAGCGTCCTGCTCCAGAGTATGAATCCCTTCACTGTCGCCACGCGGTTACCTAACGTGAAGCTTTGCAGCAACCTGGTAATTTCTTCCCAAATATCTGCCAGGGGAGGGTAGATCTGCGCTTGGAAGGCTAGCAGCGGTGTGATGTAGCTGTCAACGACTGTAGCCCTTGCAGTTATCATGAGGTACTTCAGCTGCCACTTCGTTAATTTCCCCACGATGTATTCCCACGCCTTCTCCCATGTTGGCAAGCCGCTTCCGGAAGGCGTCACCCAGACTCCCAGCAAGCGCTCTGCATCCTCCGCACCGGCCCATTTGAAGTCACTTGAACCGTCGCCCTTCTCGCCCAGGTTCGCGCCAAGAGGCAGTAGCACCGACTTCGACTTATTTGTTGCCAAACCGGACACTTTCTCGAACCGATCCACCACCTTCTCCGCTTTGACTCTTTGCTCCGCGCCTTGCAGGGCCAACATTGTGTCGTCGGCGTAGCCGAGGTAATCAAAGCGCGGGCCCTGCTTGGCGAGACCGAGTTCCTGTCTTTCCACCTCCCTCGCCAACGGCTCAACTGCGCAGAAGAAGAGAAGGTGCCAACGGGCATCCTTGCCAAACACTCGACGCCACTTCCACACCTTTCCCCGTCCAGCCATTAATCATCAATTTTGTCAATGTGTTGGCGTGCAGGCCTTTTATCCATTCGACGAACCGCTTTGGAAAACCCATCTTGGCCAACACTTCAAATAGGAAGTCTCTCGACACCGAATCGAATGCTTTTTGAAAGTCCACCACAAGTAAGTACCAGTCCTCGTTGCCGTTCTTAGCAGCGTCTATAACGTCAACCACCAGCGCCACCGCATCCGATAGTCGCCGCCCCGGGATGAACCCGTACTAATCCGGGGAGATGACCAAGTGAAGCACCGACTTCATTCTATCCGCCACCACCCTTGCCAGGACCTTGTAAGTGAAATCTAGCAGGGTAATCGGTCGGTAGTTGTTAATCTCGTCTTTCTCGCCTTTCTTATGCAGCAAAGTAGTAACCGTTTCCTTGGTTTCTACTAGCAGGGAGGCAAATGACTCGAAGCTCCTCACCATGGTCATGAAGCTTTCCCCCAGCAGGTCCCAGTGAGCTTCGAAGAGCTCCTTGGGCAGCCCATCCCCACCAAGCGATTTGTTTTTTGCCATCGCCGCAAACGCCTTCTTTACCTCCTGCTCGGACCAGTCCGCCGACAGTATCTCCGCCACCGCACCGTCCAACCGCCGAAGCGAGGTAAGATCCCAGTCCGAGAAGTCAGTGCGTCGATCTTTCCCAAAGATGTTCCGAAAGAAAACAGAGGCTGTGTCCAGGATCTGCTGTGAGCCAGTAACTCTTCCTGCACCGACTTTGGTCTCCTTGATCTGGGTGCACGCTTTCCGATCACGGACCTTCGCCGACAAATGCTTCGAGGCCAGCTCCCCCGTGAGTTCCGCCGTGAGGCCGTCGTGAAGGTACAGTCGCTCGGTCCATGAGTTGTTGTACTCCTTCAGCTTTGTCTCCCTCGCCTCCAATAAAGCTCTTATGACAGAGCAGTCTGGGTTCCGCATCATTTCCTGCTTCAGCTTAGCCACCGTAGATGTCAAGTGCAGAAGAGTTTTTTTAACCCGTTTACTCTCCTCCTTTGCATACATTCTGAGCCCGGCTCCCAGTCTCTTCAGAAGCAGCTCGAAGCTGCAACCATCATTCACAGGAGTGCGTAGCACCGTTGCCTCTATGATCTTCCGAACGCCTGGACGGTGGATCAACGAAGCGTGTAAGCGCCATAAACTTGGACCTCTGCAGTGCTCCTCATCAAGCCTGAGAGCGACAGAGATCGCATACCCGTGGTCTGAAATGGGTTCGTCAGGCATAACATGCGCAGAGTAAAAAAGGTAGGGGATCAGGGATTGTGAGACTAAGGCTCTATCAATGCGAGTGCTGACTCTATGGCTTTTTGCAAAAAAGGTGTACTCCCTGCATCCCGGATGTAGGATTCTGAAAGCGTCTGAAAACTGAAAGGCCGCGCAGCGGTGGAAAAACCGTTCGTTTTCTAAGGCCTTGCCATGTCCTCTCGAGTTGTGTAATTTTGGGTTCTCTATTATGTTCAGGTCGCCTATCAGCAGGAGATGCTCCGATGGTGAGATCTGATCTAGAAGGGGACCGAAGGAGTCTCTAAAGAAGGCGGATCTGGCTGGAATGCTGGATGGGAAATAGATCGCAAGGAGGACTATGTCTAAACCGAGACCTTTGATCGTGGTTTTCACTATTCTACCAGACTGGTGAGCTAAGGAATCATGGAACGTGATGGCGGGGTTACAGCTGAGGATGGCTACACCGCCAGCGCTGGTCCTAGGTGCGGTGGCTACGAAGGAGGTGGCTGAGAGAGAGGTCCAGTAAGGATGGTTTGAGGCGAGTCTGGTGTCAACTAGCACGGCTATGTCCGATCATGTCTTAAACCATGTTCTTACTCTGTTCTGCTTGGTGTTGTTGCCTAAACCGTTCACGTTTAAGCTTGAAAGGGTGAAATGGTTTTTAATATTCATGGGTCCACTGACTTGCAGCCCATGATCATCCACAGGCTGATATTAGAGACAGTTCAGGCGACGCTGTCAAACATTATATATGTTGCTATTCTGTAGGCTACAGTGGGTTTAGCCTTAGGGGGTACAATATTCTAGGTTTTCCTACTTGTACTCCCAATGTTGTCAGTCCAACCACTTCTCATTCTGACATGGTATTAAGAGCCTAGGTTAGGGACCTAGGACCGCTTACCTAAGGGCCCACCGTTCCGCTAGAGGTGCCCTCGTGCGCCCTACCGTCTTAGCGCCCTCGTGCGCCTCTCTCCTAGTGCGCCCTCGCGCGCCCTCCTCTCACGCTGCTCGTTTGCAGCCCGCTAGCAGCCCGAGCGCGGCCCCGCGTTTTTAGCGCAAGTAGCCCGTTAGCCGCCTAGGGCAGCCTGATTTTTTCTCGCGCGCGCCAGTAGGCCGTCGCCCGTAGGCCCCGCTCGCCCCTAGGCCGACGCTCGACCCACCGCCGCCCGCCCGCAGGTCGCAGCCCGCACGAAGCGGCGATCGCGCGTCGGCTGCTGCAGCTCGAGCTTAGCCGCCGCACGAATGCAGCCGCGGCCCGAGCGCAGCCGCACCCTAGGCGCTGCCGCGCACCATGCATAGGCCCGCCGTCGCGCCGCCCTACCTGCCCGAGCCGCGTCGCCCGAGTCGCGCCGCCCTGACCGAGCCGCGCCGCCCCGCCTGCAGCAGCTGCTGTTCCTGTTCCTGCTGTTACAGCTGTTCTTACTGCTACAGTTGCTACTGCTACTGCTCTTACTGCTACTACTGCTACTGCAACTGCTACTGCTGCTACTGCCACTATGGCCAGTCCTACCGTTCTCACTTTTGACTCTGAGGGCCGTCCGATTAAGTTTGACGTTTGGCTCGATGACCTGCACCTGTTCCTCCAGATCACTGCTAAGGACGATGTTTCCCTGTTTGACCACACGTCCGGCGCCGCTCCCGCACCTGCTGCTACTGCTGACAGCACTGCTCGCTCACAGTGGCAGACCCGTGACGCTCATGCTCGCCTAGCCGTTCGCAGCCACCTACCGTTAGATAAGCGCGAGCACTTTGGCCAGCATAAGACCGCTAAGGAGCTGTACGATGCTGTAGTTGCACGCTACTCCTCCCCTGCTACTGCTGCGATAGGCCGTCTCTCACTGCCCTATCTCTTCCCCGATCTGTCTGCTTTTGCCACTGTAGCTGACCTCATCACGCACCTCCGTACTAGTGATCTTCGCTACCGTGCCACGCTTCCCCCCGATTTCCTAGCCAAGAACCCTCCCCCGATGTACCTCACACTCTATCACCTAGTCACCCGCCTCCCTGACTCCCTTCGCACTGTCAGGGACCACTTTCTCGCCCTCTCCCCTACCGACCTCACTGTCGACCTACTCGAGAAGGAAATCCTAGCAGCTGAGAAGAGCATTGTAGCTGTAGGTGCCTCTCGTGGCGACCCTCGCGCCCCCTTCTTTGAGGGGTGCTTCCCCGTCCCCCTCCTCCCCTCCATTGCATCTGCTGCTGCTGTCGACTACCTCGGTGCTGAGGGGGTCGGGGCTGCGTCTGCTCCTAGTGGGAGGCACAAGGGCGGCAGGGGCAAGGGGGGCAGGGGTGGCGGAGGTGGCGGCGGGGGCGGCGGTGGTGGAGGGGGCGGGGGTGGTGGCGGTGGTGGGAGTGGTGCTAGTGGTCGGGGGGTCAGTGGCGGAGCCGAGGGTGGTGGCGGCGGCGGTGGTGGGGGTGCCGGGGGTGGTGGCGGCGGCGGTGGTGGGGGTGGCGGGGGTGGTGGTGGCAGTGGTGGCGGCAGTGGAGCTGGTGGCGGGCGCGGTGGAGCGGTGCAGCGTGGGGGGTTCGGCGGTGGCCAGAGGCAGCAGCAGCAGCGTCCCAGCGAGACCCCGTCGCCCCAGCAGCTCCGTGAGTGGTACTCTCAGCGTGGGGGGTCAGGGGGTGGAGGTACCTGCCCGTACGTCATCCGCACAGGTGACCGCACAGGCCAGACCTGTGG